ATTAGATGCCATCGACGCTGGATCTCCTCCCAAATACGACTTGCCTGCAACCTACAATCTTTCTAACATCCGTCACCAGCCAATTATGTCCTATCAGCCATCTTCGCCTAACTACGGTCTCTCCGACCTCCATTGCTCGACGACAGTATCTTTCACCACAATCGCTAAACTACGATCTCTCTGATCACTGTCGCCTAACTATGGTTTCTCTTATCACCATCACCGGACTATGATCTTACTGTCCACTGTCGCCCAACCATAGTATTTCCTTCCTCTATCGCTGGCCGATTATGGTATCTCCGGTCACCATTATTAGACTACGGTCTCTCCGACCACCGTTAGTTGACTACGATCCTTTCGACTACCATCACTCGACTACGGTCTCTCCAACTTAAATTATTTGTCGACTAAGGCCCCTTCGACCTTCGTCATCCACCTATTACATTCATTCTAATCACTGTTGCCCGCTGACTACAACCCTTCCAATATTTGTCCCCTCGATTAGCGTCCCTCCAACCAACATTGCCCGCCGACTATGTTCATGGTAACCAAATGAAGAACACGACACTAATTCTTCCAACTCCCACAAGTGATGCACTCTATGTGATGTATATTTACTACATTGAGCTAGGGCTGTCAATTCAGGTTGTCGGGTTGGGTTCGGGTTGAACCCGAACTGACCCGAAGCTAAACAGGTCCATCTGAACCTGTCCCGTTTAGTTATACGGGTCCACTTGCTGAACCCGGACCCGACCTTGATTAAACATGGGTCTGGTCAACCTGACCCGCCAACCCAGTTTTTTTTTAAATAAAACAGGGATATTAACTAAATTAATAAATTCAAAATGCAATGAAATAATAAAATGTATACAATTAAATTTTAATTAATTCAACACATTTAAAAAAATATATAAAAAATTACAAGAGTCGCTCAAGCAGTTACATTTCAATCATTTCTAATTTATTTGATACATTACAAATTACATTTTACAAATACAATTTCTCGAGCAGTTAGCTTCTTTGTCATTCACTCATTCATCTAATCTGGATTTTGAACAATGAAAATCTTAGCAGTCAGCATAATCAATGAACCTGCAATAAAAATTAATTAAAAGCCACAAGCTGAAGGTGTCAACTCAGTCAAGGTCCTGAATGCATTAGGGCTCACCAACTTAGGCCTTAGGGCCTTAGGCTCAGAATGAACCTAGTGAAAATTGATGAAGCATAATCTACAAGTCTGCAACAATTTTAAAAATTTTTCCTCCAAGATTACAAATTAGGAATACAAATTTTATTATTTTAGTATCTATTAGGTGAAATAATATCTGCTCAAATCAAATAAATCTCATTCCCTCAATTTGTAACCTGGTTGCAAAACATTTTTATTTTTGTATTACTACTATTCTATAAATTCACAAGGTTCTTCATCATTGTCATATTATAATAAAAAATCTGCCATCAATATTGAGCATAATTTTAGAAGACAAGACTAAGTGAGCAACCAGAAAGTGAAAGCTGCACTGCTGCAGGCTTGCAACTAAATATTTAAGTGGCATACAACTAGACAAGTGCTAAAATTGCAGAACGACCGCAACATAACAATCATGCATCAAGGCAATGAGACATCAACAGAGCTTGAAGTCGGAATACCTTTCATATGAATATATAATAAAACATTAAACATGAATTATAATGTCCAGAAATAAAGTCACATAATCATAGAGACAATGTCCAGAAGAAAATCGTCCAGCACAATGTCCAGAAAAAGCATCAAGGCAATTAGAAAAATACATAGTAACAAGACAGGAAACTAAAAACCACAATCAGGTCCAGAAGCAGGCAAGCAGCTGCTGCATGGTGCACAACAGCCAAAGCTGCTAGCATGGCAACAACAACAGCAAATAATACCATTGATATTAAATGGAAGTCCACAAATCAGAAGTTAAAGATACTATACTTTTACAACTACATAAAAGGGCTTGTATATGTGCTTTCTCCTTAATGAACAGTTTCTTACAGTCATTTCGTGTAGTATTTCTAGATATAATATATAAATCAGGACACAAGTATCGAAGTATTGATCTAACACCAAACCATTCCACACACTAAAAAGGTAGGTCATGCTTAATTATGCATGCAATAAACAAGCTAATAAATTCATGATAATCAAACTTATTTTCAACCATAGAAATAGAAGTGCTTGTGTTACTTTGAAGAATAACTTGACCAATATCATGGGAGTCCCGCTTTTTACAGTTCTGAATGTGATGTCTCAGATTACCTATAGCATTTTTACTATCAGACATGTAAATAGCCCCACATTTTTTATATTTGCAACATTATTTGTCATCATTACCAAGTGGCAACATTTCATAATGTCCCCAAGTAGTAGAAGTCAACCTCCTCTTTTTTGTTTTTGTTTTTCTTTATTTCGAACTGCATTATCACCAACCTCACCCACATCCACATTGTTATACTCATCACTATCACATTCTATGTCATTATCAATAGGCTCTTGCTCATTTTGCTCAGAAGGATTACTATAAACAACTGTATTAGAACCCTCCATCTAAACACAAAAAAAATGCACACACTTACTAAATATTTAAATATTTATTCACCAAACACATAATCTACTACACAAGTTATAATATTAGTTTAGTAAAAAACTAATAATGTAATATGGTACATCAAAAAACATTGTAGTTTAGAATTGAAATAGTACTAGCAATCTAGTACAATAGCATTATAGCGGCTTCATAATTTGACAATAAATAACAATGAAACAGAACCACAGTCTCAAATTCTCAAAGCCTAATTGGATTGCTATCACAGGCCGATCATAGATTCATGATTCGTATTTCATAATGGCTAATCTCCAAATCCCAGAACGATAAAATAATTCCAGATCCACTGTTTTCACTTTTTAGAAGCTAGACAGTAAGACAGCTAGTCAACAACGGGTCAACAGATTTAACACCAACAGTCCAAGTCCAACATAACAACTTAATAAATCATAAATTCACAACAACCATGAGTATTTTAATATTTTTGTAATGGCAAAAGAAAAATGAAAACCTAATCTCCTGAGTCCTGACCCGCAGACGACAAGTCGAGTGGCCGACATATTAGATGCCAAAACTCAAAAGACTCAAAAGTCAAAACTCAAGAATATGATAAACAGCAAGACTTCAAGTCTACAACAGTTCAGTTTTTATATGGTAAACAACAAGAGGTCAACCTCCTCTTTTTTTATGGTAAACAACAAGTCTGCAAGTCTGCTGTTCACCATATTCTAGACTTCGTTTGTGATGGCTTTCTTGCTGTTTCTTAAAATAGCTTTTATATGGTAAACAACAAGTCTGCAAGTCTACGGTTCAATTTTTATATGGTAAACAGCAAGTCTACAAGTCTGCTGTTTACCGTATTATAGACTTCGTTTGTGATGGCTTTATTGTTGCTTCTTAAAATAGCTTTCTAGTACACAAATTTTAATTTTTTGTACTTAAAAGCGGTCTTAAAAAACAATAAGAAAATCGTCCCAAATGAAGCCTTATACTACCTTCAAATCCCTCCAATCTAAAGTAAAACTAGTAGCCTAGCATGTGGACCTTGGATTCACTCTGGTATATGTGTTTGTTTGGTGTGTATTGAACAGTCTTATATATTGGCATAATTGTAAACATAATAAAAAATTTATTTGAAGTAAATATACTATACGTGCTTTGATATGTAAAGAATATAACAAATTCATGGAATCAAAATTAAATTATAATCATTAAGCAAAATTTAATATATCACAAAATTTCTTAAAAATTTACATAAATACCAAAATTCCTATCGATATTACTTAGTTATGACCTAAATTTTATATTTAGTTATAGGAACTTTTATTTTATCCAGTGAACGTACGTTCCTCTACGTTCGGTTTGGGCAAAAAACGTGCTTGTACCGAGTACCGAGTTGTACCGAGTACCGAGTTGTACCGAGTACCGAGTACAAGCACGTTTTTGCCTAAAACCGAACGTAGATGAGCGTATGTAATAAAAGTTCTAGTTATAGAGCCTTCAAACTTTTAAATGATATAAAAATATCACTAATTTTAACTTAATTAAATTAAAACATAATTTTTTTCAATTTCGATATTTTAAATAAAATCTACTAAGTATTTAGGTATCTTTGCATCATTGAACTTATTATTGAAATTCCGAGTACGCACCAAAGCCGCTTGATTCATTGAAAATTCAGGCAGGCAATTCCTCGATGCCGGACTCGCAGCCCCGCCGCCACCATTGATGCTCTCTGAAGCCGCTGCTATTGGCTGTCGATACGTGCTGCTGGCGTCTTTCCTCTTCATTGCTGTCACCATTGCGAGAAATTATTGCGTGTGGAATCCGATCACAACAATGTGTTCGGTCTGTAACAGTAGCCAATAAAAATCAATAATGCTTTAGAAGAAGAGAACATCGAGTATTCTTTTTAAATCAATTACAATTTTACATTATGCACATTGTTGATAAAAAACCGCATCTTTGCTAAACACAATAAATGCACAACGAAAACTTGAAGGAGGCGAACTTTACCGAGATGCTGAACTTTTCGTCCAAATCCACTGGTTCTACGTGTTCTGCTTCATGTGCGTTTGTTTCCGGGACGTCGGCATTCTCAAGGTTATCGGCTTCCTCCGAGACCTGCGAAAATATTGTCTGCTCATAAAAACCAACATCCTCCTCCAGATCAATCTCCATCTTCATCGGCATTTTCTCTGCGAAATTTTGGCTTCTCTGCGAAAATTTTGGCTCTAAGCTTTATATATTGCGGTGATTCGTGCGCGCCTTAAATTCTGAAAAAAAGAAGTGCCAACCTAAATCTTCCGGATCGGGCTGGAAGACGGATCGAATTTACGAGGTTTACGCAAGTCAATTGACTGTTTAACCCTTTCCACGTAAGAAACCCAACACATGGTTGTGATCGGATTCCACACGCAATAATTTCTCCACCATTGCGCGCTCCTGTGTTCTATCTACCGGCGTTGCTCCACCACCTCTCCATCGTCGCCGCCTCTTCGTCTATACTTCATTTCGCCAAGCGAAACCCTAGTTCCTTTGAACTCTAATTGCCCCGTATTCATTCTCATACTTGATATATGCGAGTAGTTGCCCTAAACCTAGCTTAACATATGGAAAAACCTCTTCCTTTCTCTTTTCCTTGTTAACCATCATTACTTCCAGATGGCCACAACCTTATTTGGGGCAACCCTTCGCGGAAGCAAGAATGTCGCATTTCTATTTCATCTCCAAATGCGCAATGGGCTTGGCCATCTAATTGGCATTCTCCCGCTCTCTCAATCTGTTTTACCCAAACCCACACTAGGGAAACACATTAATAGAACTATTTGTTCGGGTTTCACCCTGGCAGCTGCACCATTGCTGTGCCGTCAATCCTCAGGTTTTTGCACGGCGGTAGAATGCGATGTAAAAACGGTGCTCGCGCCCTCAACTGGTTTAGCAACTAAGTCCAAGAACAAAAAAGCGAGGATGAAATCGAGGGTGGACTTCACAAAAATGGATCCTTCACTTCTACCAACTGTGATAATCGTTGGCCGTCCCAACGTTGGAAAGTCTGCACTTTTCAACCGGTGAGTCTACTCTCTTGGGTTAGGGATAATAGCTTTTTTGATAATGGATTCTTTTTGTCGTTGGTTTTTAGTTATTTTGGTTTGATTTTTTGTTGTTTTAGTTTGATTCGGAGGAGGGAGGCACTCGTGTACAACACCCCTGATGACCATGTCACTCGGGACATCAGAGAGGGAATTGCCAAGTTGGGGGATTTGAGGTTTAAGGTCTTGGATTCAGCAGGGTTGGAGACGGAAGCCACATCGGGTACTATTCTCAGTAGAACGACAGAGATGACAGGAAATGTTTTGGCAAAGACCCAATTGGCCATTTTCTTGATTGATGTGAGGTTGTTTATTTGTTTTTAATTTATGTTAGGATGACATTAGTTTACTGAGTTTCTTACTTGCGCTGATTTGGTTGGAACTTTGGCAGGGATGGACTCCAGCCGCTTGATCTTGAAGTAGGGAAGTGGATGCGGAAGCATGCATCTAACATCCACACGATTGTGGCCATGAATAAGTCCGAATCACTTGATGAACGAGGGCTTGTTACTGCGGCTGCTGGGGAAGCTCATAGCTTGGGATTTGGTGATCCGATTGCAATATCTGCAGAGACTGGGCTGGGAATGGCGGAACTCTATGGGACCCTTCGACCTTTGTTGGAAGACTATGCACTTCAACTTCCTAATGGTATGCCATCCTGGTATTGAATCTCTAGCTTGCTTTAATTAACTATTCAAACCTCATTTCCTTAGTGCCAAATTATGTCATTCTAGCTAGTTATTAATTTCTCATTCCTATTCTTGCTGGATACTTTTTTGGGGGATTTACATACATACCACTTTATTCCATGTTATTTATATATCTACCACCCAAAATATTAATATTACAAGCCTACCACCCATAGAACAAGTTTGGGTGCATAAAATGAAATATTAAAATTTATAGGATTGTATGAATGGTAGAAATGAATTATAAGAGTGTTATATTTGATATTAAATTTGTATATGTAATATTAATATTTTGAGTGTTAGATATATAAATAGCATGTAATAAAGTGATATTTATGTAACTTTCCCTACTTTGGGTTTTTTGATTCTTTGGCGAGAGCTAGTTAGTTACTATAGTTGATATTATGTCACAAAAACCTAAGCAATTAAAGTTATGCATAATGATCAATTATTTTTTGAGGGAACTTGTCACCCTCAGTTAGCAATATCATGTGAGCTTTTACAAATGATATTCAAAGTGTTGTGTTTTAGTGTATATTTTTCTTGGATGAAAATCTTAATATGAGTGACATTTCTTATAGCGAGTAAAAAGTTGGACATTGAAAAAAAAAGAAAAAAGAAAATGGGTGATTTAGAATTGATCTAGGAGGCTTTGACAAGCCTCTAAAATAATCCTGAATGAACCTTGAACTTTCTAGAAGACTTGGAGAACCTTCCAAGGACTTGAAGAAACTTCTAGATTTCCTAAGGGAATCTTCTAGATGACCTAAAAGTTTTGCCTAAAGAATTTTCTAGAAGACTTGAAGAACCTTATAGAAGGTCTAAAGGGCCTTCTAGAAGATTTGAAGAACCTTCTAGAAGGTCTATGAAATCTTCTGGGAGTTATAAAGAAAGTTAGACCTTAAATAGAAATAGCACATGAAGTATTTACAAATTATATTCAGAGTGAGGTGTCTTAGTGTATATTTTTATAGATGAAAATCTTAATATGGAAGACATTTCTTAAAATGAGTAGAAAGTTAGACAATGAAAAAAATATTTACACGACGGACTATTTAGATTTGATCCGTGAGTCTTTGACAAGCTTCTAAAATAATCATGAATAAACTTCTTGAACCTTCTAGAAGACTTGGAGAACCTTTCAAAAGGCCTGAAGAAACTTCTAGATTACCTAAAGTAACCTTCTAGATGGCGTAAAAGTCTTACTTAAAGAATCTTCTTGAAGAATTGAAGAGCCTTATAGAAGGCCTAAAGGACCTTCTAGAAGATTTGAAGAACCTTTTAGAAGGTCTATGAAACCTTCTAGGACTTATGAAGAAAATTACACCATCAAATCCTATCATGCTATGGATTTCTAAGGCAAGGAGATAAAGTAAAGAACAAGTACCAGCATATTAGGTGGAGAGAGAAATGATTGAAGAAGTCAAGTGATGTTTAAATTTAATCTCCATAAAATCTCCCTCAATCCCACCTCTTCTGCAACCAAACAAAAAAATGAAGGGAAGATTTTTGAAGTTCATCCCTTGGACATATGGGTTGTTAGGATTTGTTAAGCATGAGTTGATCTTATATAAGTTAGATCACTTGTATGATAAGTTATGCAATAGATTTTCATGTAATTTTCTTATTATTTTTAATGAATCCAATGGATATAAATTGTGGCCCATAAAAGTTTTTTTTTTCTTTTCATCATTTATCACGTAATATTTCCTCTTCCTAGAAAGCATAGTTCTATCTCTTATCTCATCTCTAACACGTAAAATTATTCTGTGCGGATACGGACGTCGTCCGGAGGCAAATCATAGCGCTTCACATAACTTTTTTTAATGTGTACCATGGCTGTTTACTCGGTGACGTGGCGCACTCTGATTCGCCTCCTGACGGTTTGGTGTCCGCATAGACTAATTTCTCCTCTAACATGGTAGCTCTCTCTCTCTCTCTTTCTCTCTCTTCCCCTTCCCACTCTTTTTTCCTTTACTTCAGATCCCTCCTTCCCTATTTAACCTCTCAAACCTAGAAATTTAAGGTAGCAAGAGGTAGGGGATCAAGTAAAGAGTTGTGATGAAAGATTCATGCGGAAGAAACCATACTAGGAAGGTGTTATGTGAGATAATTCATCAATGCTCTTGGGATTTGGATGAACTCTAATTAGCTGTTTATCCTTGTGTTTGTTAAATTTTTATTGAAGCTCCCCTTTATTTTTTTTCCATTTGGCAGAATTTCGCAAATCACTTTATTACACTCGTAAGCACTAATTCTACTTGGGAGAAATAACTTTTGTTAGTTGTTTAATGTTTTGAGAAGATTGGTTGAAGTCCATGGTGGCCATGTTGAAGAAATAACTTTTGTTTGGTAAATATACCTCTTGAAAAAAGAGTTTTTATTGGAGGAGATTTAAATTGACATGTTGGTAGAGAGGTAGATGATTTTAAAAGCATCCATGGTGGCCATGAGTTTGAAACGATAAATGAAGGTGGTATGACTATATTAGATTTTTCTTTAGCTTATGACTTCTTAATAGTTAATATCTTATTTAAGAAAAGAGATAAGTATCTTATTACTTATAAAAATGGATCTAGTAAAACACAGGTTGATTATTTTCTTATAAGAAAATTAGGTCGTTTAGATTCCAAAGATTGTAAAGTTATTCCGAGTGAAAATTTATGTACCAAACATCGATTATTAGCTTTTGATTTTAAAATAAAGGGCTAAAAAATAAAAAAAATAAAGTAAAATGATTTTCTAGGATTAGATGGAGGCATTTAAATAATATTAACAAAATTCTTTTTGAGAGTAAAATTTTAGATCTTAAGATTCTGACTGTGTATGAGGATGTCAATATTGTGTGGGAAAAAGCGACTTGTGATATTAAAATTTTTGCAAAAGATGTGTTTGCAATTTCGAAGGGAAAAACTCCTAATAGTAAAAATAGCTCGTGGTGGAGTCCAAATGTGCAAGAAAAGATAAAAAATAAGAAAAATTATTATAAAAAATTGATTTAGATGTAAAAATTCTGATAATTGGGAAAGCTATAAAAAGGCTCGTAAGGAATCTAAAAAAGTTATTTGTGATGCAAAGAGCTTAGCTTTTAATGATTTATGGTGCCGAATGTTGGCCATTAAAAGAGAAGCACAATACTAAGTTAAGTGTGACATAGATGAGGATGCTCAGGTGGATGAGTGGCTTTACCCTTAGAGATAGGATACGAAATGAGCATATACGTGAAAAGGTTGGAGTAGCTCCAGTAGAAGATAAGATTAGAGAGAGTCGCCTTAGATGGTTTGGTCACATAAAACGACGGCCTTCCGATGACCCGATTAGGAGAGTAGAGGTATTAGATTTGACTTATGTTAAGAAAGGTAGGGGTAGACCTAAAAAGACTTGATTAGAAAATATTAGGAATGACCTTTCTTTATTAGATTTAAACGAGAATTTGACTTTTAATAGGACACAATGGAGAAAAATGATTTATGTAGCCGACCCCACGTAGTGGGATAAAGGCTTGATGTTGTTGTTGTTTGTTGTTGTTGTATTAGATACTAAGAAGAGAGAAAGATATATATATATCTCACGGCTCACGCGATGTCACCGTCATAGTGACGTGGGCGAACAGCGGTCCGTCACGGACTCACGCGACGCGATGTCACGCTCACGCGTGGCGTGGGGCTCGATGCGGGCACTGGGCAGTGGCCAGTGGGGCAGTGCAGGGCAGCCGGGTAGACTCGGGCAGTGACGCGGGGCAGGCGGGGCAGCCGGGGCACAGGGCAGGCGGGCAGCGGGCGGGATAGGAAAATCCGAAATTTCAATTTTTTTTTTAAAATAAACGGGTTTTTGGGTTGACCCGGCAACCCGCCGGGTCAACCTGAACCCGACCCGTTTTTGCAAACGGGTCGATTTTTCGAACCCGAACCCGACCCGCTTAGGATTCGGGTCAACCCAAACCCGAAAATTCCGGGTCGGGTTCGGATCGGGTTTTCGGGTCAGATCAAATATTGACAGGTCTAACCGGTTGATAGAAGATGTACCTCTGGGTATTGCACGTTTCTTGGAGGTAACCTAGTTACATGGAGAAGCAAGAAACAAAATGTGGTGGCAAGATCTAGTGCAGAAGCAGAATATCGAGCTATGGCCTTGGGAATATGTGAGCTACTGTGGATTAAAATAATCCTAGAAGATCTGAAGGTTAAGTGGGACAACAAATCAGCAATCAGCATAGCCCACAATCCAGTCCAGCATGACAGAACCAAGCACATAGAAGTGGACCGACATTTTATTAAAGAAAAACTAGACAGTGGTCTAGTAAGTGTTGACCATGTATCATCAAAGGATCAACTTACAGATTTCCTTACTAAAGGATTGGACAGTTCTGTCTTCCTCCGTATGATTGACAAGCTGGGAATGACGGATCCATATTTCCCAGCTTGAGGGGGAGTGTTGAAATCCAGCCGTTCCTAGTACAAAGGATCCGACGGACACAAAGATCAATCCGTGGGATACTCTCATGGATCACGCCATAATGAGGGAACAAATTTAGGAAAGATTTTATTTTCTTATTTATGTATTAAATCTGCAATTTATTATTTCCGCATTAGGATATCTTGTATAGATCTATAAATAGGGAAGATTGTAATGAATAAAGGCAAGCTTTTCCCTCTCTAATTCTCTGTTTCAACAGTTACAAAAGCTTAAAACAATTTAAATCATGGAATAAGATCATTTATTTTTTGTGGAATTTATTACTCTCAAATATCAGGTGAAGTGCTTATAAAAGATATTAAATGAGTTTTTTTAGTGTATGCTTTTCATAGTTGCAATCCTTATCGAGGAAACATGTTGAAATAAGTAAAATACAAAAAAAGGAAGTTGTGGAGCAATCTAAGGAGAATCTCTGTTAGGCTTTTTATGCAAGTCAAAATGACAACGGTATAAACTATTTTTTTGCTATGGGGTGCAAAATAACTTGATTATTGAAGCATTAATGCAGAAGTTTGGATTGGAAGCAAGCCCACATTACAAGCATTGCGCATTGGGATGAGTTCACAGAGAAGAGTAGTACAGGTTTGCAAAATAGTGGACCTTCAAATATGCAATTACAAAATATTTAATAGATGAAGTCACTCATGATGAGTTTGTTCCTTTAGATACATGCCATATTATTTTAAGGAATCCTTGTGGGAACAGGTTGCTATTTATCATAGGAGGTTGCAAAGATGCCTTCTTATGTTAGGAAATAGCGCTCCCTTTTCTTTTCCAAAATTTGTTGATCTTGTACCTATTAGAAAAGTTACATATTTGTCTTGGTTTTGTATTAATTCTCCTGCTTGAGAGGATCACAGCATGAAGTTGTACTTCCTTTATTTTTCATATGCTATTCTCTACTATAAGTCATGGTCTTAACACGCTTTTGTAGAGATACCCCCAATAATTCAACGAGGCAAATAGTTTTCCTCAAAAAAAGATAAAAAAATGGAAAAAAAAGAAAAAAAAAGTTAATCACAAGTTTTAGTAGAATGAGGTCAATTGCCAAATTAAGTGCTAAATCTTCATTGGATGCTGGAGAATGATGAGATCAAGTGGCAAATGAAGATGCTTGTGGAGCAAGGAGCCATTCAAACTAGCTTATGACATTGTGGATCACTAGTCATATTGTTTTAAAGAAAGATGATAGATGGAGGGTGTGCATTAACTAAAGAGCATTACTAAAGAGCACTCTGTAAAATCACCTTAAAAAATAAATATCCATAACTTGCAATTGAGGATTTGATTGATCAATTTCAACAAGCAAAATACTTCCCCAAACTAGACATGAAGTTTGGCTACATCCAAATCCATTTGTGGGAGGGGGAGGAGGATACTCAAATAATTGGTTTTAAGACTTGCCAAGGGATATACAAGTGATTGGTAAAACCATTTGGACGTGTTGATACTCAATTACAGTTTTGAGGCTGTTGGACATGGTGCCCACCACCCATCCTAGTTTTTTTTTTTTATACTTAAATGAGATCTTAGTATAGTAACTTCTAGGAAGGGCACTTAGATCACCTAGAACAAGTTCTTTATTTTTGAAGCCCTCGAACTTATACTTGATCTCAAAAGCGTGAGTTTGGTATTTATGATTTGTAGTCTGAGGAGAACCACTATAGGAGGATAACATTATAAGTAAGAAGGTCACTATCACGACAAGGAAAATTTAAGAAGTATTCAGATGCTAACCTCTTTTATCTAAGCATTAGTAATAGTTAACAATCACAAGCATTTAATATAGAGGTGGACAACATGATCATTTTTCTCAACGTGTCAAAGGTAGAGTTTCCCTTGAAAGGGATCTTTTTAATTTCTTGTGCCAATTCTCCTTACAAACCAAACAAGTCTATTGATTTACATAGATATGCTGTAGCAAACATTCATTGATACATTGCCATTCTTTTGGTACTTTAATTTGAGCTAGGATCTAGTTTTTTGAAGTGACACTAACTAGTTTACAAAATTTGAACTCTCTTTGTAAATTTTTTTTTTTCAATCCTCACTTGGTTACTGCACATATAAAATTTAAGAAGTTCATTGGGCCAAGATGTTTTACTGTTTTACAGATATGAAATGTGATGAAAATGCCTTAGTCGAAGTCGGTGAGAATTCAGAGAGCAAGGTATCCCTACAATTGGCAATTGTGGGACGTCCTAATGTTGGAAAGTCTACACTGTTGAATACTTTGCTTCAAGAAGAAAGAGTTCTGGTTGGGCCAGAGTCTGGCTTGACAAGAGATTCAATTAGAGCCAAGTTTCAATTTGAAGACCGCACTATATATTTGGTAAACAGGTCTTGTGCATTCTTATATCTGTACAATTATTAAGACATTCTTTTTCTTCTATAAGAAACTTATTTTTGCCTCTGTCAGTAGTTAGCGATTCAATGAACTTATGTAGTATTGATGCTTTTAGGTAAATATAAGGAGTGATAGTTGTTGGCATCTTATTTTATTGAGGGCATTTGCACTTTTTCCATCTCTTTAGAAGGCTATAGGTAATAATAGAACACGAGATATGTAACGCCCCATAGTACCCTCTAATAGCATATGGAGTATTGTTAACATAAACATTTCATCATTTGATCATACGATACTTTTGAAAATCATTATAAAACATCCAACAGTTCTCATTCATCTCATCAAACGAAAGCAACTAATAATTTTTAAATTTCAACATGAGATACTTATAGAACAACTACATAAATCAAAAGTAGTACATCACTGGGAAGTTTACATACCTCAAGCTTAGACTTCAAACAAAGATAAATACCAAGGTTTAAAATTGCGTAAATAAGCATCGAGGCGGTCTAAGGCGTAAGCCTCACGGACGAAGAATTGCGTAAATGAGAATTTAAGGGTTTTAACAGGTAAATAATAGTAATGTTCTATCATACAATAAAAACATCTAAATGACAAGTGAAATTAGTAGAAAGTAAGAAAATATATGTAATAAAATCATGTTCCAAAGTACAGAATCACAAAATATTTGACTATTAAAACTCCCAAAGTACAAATAAAAAAGAACATATAAAATCTAATCATGTCCCATCTCTAAATGGGTCTTCAAGGGAATCTTTTTATCCAATTGTATCTATGAATGTCATATTTTCATCATCTTCAATGTGACTTACTTTTCTCTTCCCTGTTCGATAAGAATGATCATTATCATATTAATTGTCCAATTGATATAAATATAATGTAATACCAGCATATAAAAAATTGTGAAATACCTTTATTTGGTTGTTGTACTACAAAATTAGTAGATGTGTGTGGTGTGGTAGTATTGGATGTGCCCCTCAAGACATCCACACTTAGATCCTCTAGTTGCAGTCTGATAATGATAAATCTGTCTCATCATCTATGAACCACTTATTATCAGATGCCACATCATCACACACCAACGGGTCCTCATCATCCTTCAACCTCTTGTTCCTCAACATTCTTTCTATCAACCTCTTGTTGTGCATAGTATACACAAGGGAGTTCATTCTGAGTGTTGAAAGTCGATTTATTCTTTTTGTTTGCACTTGACTATATGTACTCCAATTTCGCTGACACCCAAAAGAAGAACAATTGAGGCCTAAAACTCTAACAACAAAACTCTGTAACTCAAGGGTGTAATCACCAAATTGGGTCCACCATTCAACTATTTTCAAGAAGAAAAATGATAATCAGAACATATTAAAGTATTATTCATTTACAAAAATAAGTATACCTAGAGACCGTTTGACAATAGTTGATTTTGCTGCTTGTAGACCAAAAAATCCCTCCTTATTCTGAAATAAAACAAGTTGTAAATCTATAAGCTTCCTAACGGTTTGGTCTGGTATTAGTCGTTCCATGTAGTGATACAAACCAAGCTTCACCTCCGGGTTTGAAGATTTCCTCTATGAATATTGAAATTGAGGATTTAGATAATAAGCTGCTGCATGTAGATGACTGTGCAACTGGACCTCCCACCGAGCATCAATGATATCCCAAATCTCTCTATAACTTGCCTCCTCTCCTCCTAAGTTATGTGCAATCAACTCCTTCGCCTTATCCATAGCACTACTAGGGATTTATTTAACAATAATCAATTGTTTTTTTTTCTTTTTTTTTTCATAACCACCATTACTTGGATTTTGGATATTACAATTCTCTCCTACTTATTGAATTTCGCCCTCAAAATTCAACTTTTCATAAATCTTCAAGTTGGTGAGGGAAACTTCTGTCCCAATTCTGCCTCTTTTTTTCCATGTAACATATTTTATTGATCTGTGCTTCCATTTTACTTTTACAAATGGAATCACTCTGCTTCTCAGTTTACGAATATCTCTTTTTCAATATCATTTCAGGTTCTTCAATATAAGTCAAATCTTTTTGAATTTTAATGTCGTTCTGAAGAACCCTTTTGACTTTCATTTGTGACCCTTTTTTGAACATTGATACATAAAAAAAATATTGTGTATATCAGACATATCTGTAGGTAGTGCCAATTTGTAAGCTATTTGTCTCACTCTCAAAAATACAAAATCTCTTACTTCAAATTCTCTTATTTTATGCTTGTAATCATCATTTTTTTTGGCGATCTTGAGCCATTTTTAATATGTCTCTAATTAATCGGACATTTTCAATAGCTTGATCCACTAACTGCGGACCCAATAATTGTCTTTCACTAACTTCAAACCAACTCAAGTGAGTTATGCATTTTTTTTGGTCATATAAAGCTTTATATGAAGTCATATACATACTAAATTGGTAGCTATTATTACAAGTGAACTCTATTAATGAAATATGATCTTTCCAGCTACCACCAAAATCTAGAACACATAATCTTAACAAATCTCCCAGCACTTAAATTAGTCTGACGAATAGGTAGAAAATATGCTGGCTTTGATAGTCTATCATTCACAACCCATATACAATCATATCCTTGCTTTGATCTGAGAAATCCTATAATAAAATCTATGACTATTTCCTCCCACTTTCATTATGGGATTTGTAGAGATTGGAACATGCCACTGGGTTTATGATGCTCACTTTTATCACTTGACATTTTTCACATTTAGCTACATATTCAACCACATCTTTTTTTATTCCTGACCACCAAAATAAAATATTTAAATCTTTATACATATTTGTGCTTTTAGGATAAAATGAATAACCTGAATTACAGGCTTTATATAAAATCTCCTTAACAAGACTTGATTCCTTTGATATCCATAAATGCCTATTGCTCATGATTCTTCCCTGATCATTGAACCTTAGATCCTTTCTATTTCTTAATTGCCACTACTCAATAAGTTTATGATATTCACTACTAATCTTCTGAGCTTCAGTGATTCTTTCTTCTAAAGAATGATGAATTGACATATGATTAAGACTAATCGAATCTTGATCTCCTTAGACTCTGACTTCCAATTGTAAGTTTTTTGTTTTTCTAATCAACCCTTCTTTAATAGTCAACATATAACTCAACTGTGTTATGGACTTTTTGCTCAATGCATCAGCTACTCCATTAGTCTTGCTTGGACAGTACTGGATGTCAACATCATAATCCTTTATTAACTCCAAACATCTTCTCCGTCTTAAATTTAATTCCTTCTGAGTGCAAATATATTTTAGGCTTTTGTGATCTATATAAATCTCACATTTTACTACATACAATTAGTGTCTCATAATTTTCAATGCAAATATCACTATAGCCAACTATAGATCATGGGTAAGATATTTCTTTTCATGAGGCTTAAGCTGTCTCGAAGCATATGCAATCACCTTTTTATTTTGCATCAACACACAACCTAATCCCTTCAAAGAAACATCACTGAACAACTGAAATCCCTCAATTCCAGAAGGAATTGTCAACACTGGATAGTTGTTAAATATTGTTTAAACTATTGAAAACTCTGCTCACAATCATCAGTCCACTCAAATTTAATTCCCTTCCTGGTTAACTTAGATAAAGGCAAAGCAATTTGAGAAAAACCTTAAACAAATCTTCTGTAATATCCTGCTAATCCCAATAAACTTATGTCCTCTGTCGTATTAGTGGGTATTGGTCAGTCTACTATCGCTTTAATCTTTTATGGATCCACAAATATTCATTCTCCATTGATAATGTGTCCCAAAAATGAAATTTTCTTCAACTAAAATTCACATTTGGAATATTTGGAAAATAGTTTATGCTGCCTCAATAATTCCAGGACAATTCTCAAATGGTCTGCATGCTCTTCATCATTCTTAAAATAGATCAAAATGCCATTAATAAAAATGATTACAAATTGATCTAAAGAAGACTTGAAAATTCTATTCATCATATTCATGAATACAGTAGGGGCATTGGTTATTTCAAATGGCATAACTAAAAATTCATAGTGCCCATATCTAGTGCAAAAAATAGTTTTATCAATATCACATTCTTTCACCCTAACTTGATGATAACATGATCTCAAGTCAATCCTAAAAAATACAGAAGCATATGCTAACTGATCAAATAGATGGTCAATTCTTGGAAGAGAATACTTGTTTTTTATTGTCACATTATTTAATTCTTTTTGATATATACAGAGTCTCATATAACCATCATACTTTTTAACAAATAACACTGGTGCACTCCAAGGAGATGAATTGGCTTTGATAAAACCCTTTTCAATTAGTTCAGCCAACTGACTTTTCAACTCTTGTAATTTCATGATTGTCATTCTATAAGGTGATTTCACAATGGGATTTGTTAAAGGTTGGAGATTTATTGAAAATTCTACCTCTCTTTTTAGAGGTAAATTCTTTCATTTCTTTGAGAATACATCTACAAATTCATTTACTACCAGAATGAAATTTATATCATCATTTTTTTTCTTTAGTTGCTTCTAATTTTGCTAATGAAATCATGTCACCCGCTCTTAGACTTTTATGCACATGACTAGAAGCAATCAATGAGGAAATGATTCCACTTTCATACTGGAAATAAAATACTTCTTCACCAGGAAAATAAAACCTGGCCCTTTTCTTCCAACATTTTATGTTGGCAAAATATATGACCAACCAATTCATTCTCAAAATTACTTCAAACTCCACCAATAAAAGTACTATAAAGTCTGCTGGAATCTTTCTACTAGCTATCATAAAATTGATTAAACATGCAGTACTGGTATTTAAATGATCATCCGCAGGTAATCTAACACTTACTCCATGAATAAAAACAATAATTTTTACATTCAATTTCTAACAAATTGTATTATAGAAAGACTGTTGTTTTGCTTATGATAGAATGTCTATCTTTTTGACGATCCACCTTTGTGATC